GGATATTGTCATGTTTCTATTGGTTCAATTTCATTTCCATACGTCAATTTGAAAAAAATACAGGTTTCTGTAGGTACATAGGAAGTTATCATAAGCTGTTGATAGAGGGCAGCACTTTCAAGAGGGCGTTCAAAAAAAAATAATTGGAGCACAGATTTTAAACAAATTTTTCATTTTCTACTAGCAGTAGTAAAAAAAATTCTATATATTCCTCGGTAGAGAAAGTCATTATATACCTCACTCATTATAAACCTCGGCGCGAGCGCCTCGGTTTATAAAAGCGCTCGGTATATAAGGACCAACTTCTCTACCTAGGTATATAATATACTATTTTGTAGCAGTTTCATGTGTCAACTGCATTTCTTTATGGAGAGCTACCAAAGACCATATTTGTGAAACAACCAGATGGTTACCACTTAAACCAAGGAAATGAACAAGTTTGCAAATTAGGAAAAGGCTTGTATATGGTTTACAGCTTGATTTGGCTAGCTGTTCACACGAATAATCTGAGCCCCAGAATATCAAGCAAAACTTGAAATCGAAGAAATCAGAAGGCGTTTCCAGGCAGAAATATAGCACCGAAGCCAAAAAGTTACAAAAACAGATGACATCGACACGAGTTTTGAAGTACTATCTGAAGCAATCATAGGAGCAGCAAAAGCGACTGTGGGAGTAAAATCAAGAAACAAAAATATAAACCACTGGTACGATCCGGAATGTGAGAGGGTACTTAAGGAGAGAAATAATGCAAGATTAGTAATGATGCAGGATCCTACTGAAGATAATAACAGTAAATTCAGAGAACTAAGAAGAAAGGCAAGATTGAATGGCTTGAATTTTTATTATCTATTTTTTTTCAACAAACCTTCTCAAAAACAAAATGAAAGGCAGATACCTACGTTGTCGAAACTTATTCAATTTCACACTTGGAATGCGCCTGGCAATAGCAAAATTAGAGAAATTTGAGGAAAGCCGTGATATAAAAAATAAACGAAAAATTTGTGAAACGTCTAATTTATTACTAAAGAAAATCGTACCGTTCCAACCTGGAATTCACGAGGAAAAAGAGCACGGCAGAGAAACCCTAGATCTCAATTCCTCAAATTTTAATAATAATTGTAAGTCAATAATAGTATAAATTAGGTACCGTCCTTGTGCTAAAATTTGTAATTCCACACACTTCATTCAATAGAGAAGAGTTATTGGTTAGTTAGCTAGTCTCATCAGCAGGTACTGAGGTCCCGTTCGGGAGGCTACTCAGCTTTAGCTGTTATTTTTGAACCAATATCTCTAGACTGATCATTTAATTTGTTTGCTAGGATATTCGCTGTCAGGGGAGGAAAATCTTAGTAGATTCAACAAGGCCCTGATGCACGCTTTGAATACCAAAAATTAAAATCCCAGCACAAAAGACAGTACATAATTTCTTAGGTTTTTAATTTACTTTTTATTTGATTGGTTCACAGCATGCAATGATTTTTGTTAAATACATGAACAATGCACATGTTATCAAATAATATACGGTATAAACAAACAAAAAAAATATATAGAAATGAAAAAATAATACTTGCATAAATTGAACTCTCAAAAAACAAAAAAGGTAACATTTATTCAACTGACCTGTGAGTGCTCCTTATGACACATAAACTAATCACAAACTTCATTGAACAATCAGTTTTATACAAAATAAAAATTGAATAATGAACAATGGCGGAGAAGCTTCTTCCCTGGTCTTTTATTTTTCTGTCTACCCTTAGGATCGTGGCGCGTCCCCGTTCATCCCTACTTGACAGCGCATACATGGTTGCAACATTTAACATTTGCTTTTCTATCGTAAACGTTTTAAAAATTTAAGATTTGATTTGAAGAAATAATGTTTCAAATAGGTGGTTTTCCTCGAACGAGTCCCTTAGTCGTCCGTCAGCCCTCAACGAATCAGATACACAAGAAAACTCTTTGACTCCCTGCAATTTTCCTGCCTGCAAGTTTATTGCTGCTATAAATTTGTGACGATTCTACAGTTTGCAATTTTTATCCCCAATTCTTGATGCCATTTTCAGAATTATCAACCAGAGAAATATTAATGAACGTCAGCTTTTTATGATAGGGGTTCTAAAGGCTAAATTCCCCAGTTCCTTTCTTCACTTTTCGGAAGGGTCAACAACGAATCAACCATACGGAAAAAAAGTAGGATAATAAATAACTAATCGTCTGAAAAAGTAACATTAAGCTTTTCTCACGTTCTCCAGCGTCTTTTAAATTGGGGTTTGAAAATAGGTACAATAATCTATAGTTGAATCAAACGACATCAACTGGTCATTTTCATTACAACCTATCAAATGTCCTCAGTGCATGCGCACTGGTCCTGGTAGGGCGTTTCAACCAATAGGAAGGCTGGATTACCAGCTGGTGATTGTTAACAATTTAGGTTATTTAATGTCATTACTGCCGCTTGGATTTGCTTCAACTATAGTACTGAATGACGTTCGTTATAATGAGATAATAATGAAAAATAGAAAGAAAAAAAACAAAACGAAAAATAACTGAAGCAAAAATTATACATATATTCTAATGACATGATACGATACATCACCCTTGCCGCATACAAATTTATCATCGTCAATAGTAGGTACGTTTAATTATAATTATTGATGAATTTTCTATTACCATCAAGTGAAATATTGTACCAGGAACCCATAAAGGTTGTTCATATTCACATTCATTATTAGGCTCACCTTGGACTCTTTTTTTTGATAAATTATCAGTGTAAACGTAAACCAAAAAAGGAATTAATACTCTTCCGGATACCTACCTTCATAGACCGTATGCCCATTCTGTCAAAAAGTGAAACGATAGTATAACGTTTGTCCTCTGAGGTTTTTGTAATTATGCATATGCTCGTCAACCTACAAGTACAAGCAAGCACAATTAGCGAGTGACCGCGGAACTTAGGCTGAAGAAGTTAACGTGGGACCTATAATTGAAAAATGGGGAATTTTAAGGGCGAACGCCGACCCTTAGATCCCACATACACCCACATTATGTCGATCGTTTTCCGATGGATTTTTATTTATAAATATCGATTGGTATGCTCGGCAAACGTTCTACCATCCCATTCCATAGCTCGCTTCATCTTTTAACAATAAACAATTAACTTCTTCAGCGGAAGTTCCGCGGACATCCGCTTATTTATCAAAACCTCAGAGAGCATACGTTATACCGAGCGTTATACTATCTTTGCACTTTTTGGCAGTAACCTCTGTGTATTTGCAGAGCATGCCTTTGAAGCACTTAATAAAAAGAAATAACTAGATGTAATATACATGGACTGCGCCAAGCCATTTGACAAAGTGGATCATTATGTACTGCTAGTGCTAAGTAAGCAGATGGACTTCTCTAAAAGCGCTAGAGTAGAAATCAAACGAGAAGAAGCCACACGCGCGATCGTTTGTTTCACTTTAAATGGGAAGGACCCAGAGAAAAGGAAATATGCTTTCTTTGTCAGCGCTAACGACAGTGGCCTCTTCTCATTTGATTTTTACTCTATTGCCTCTGTAAAATCTCACTTGCTCCAGAAGACTCAGGTTAATAAAGTAGGAAGGGCCAAATCCGAGTCATTTGTCGCCACCTCGGGTGTTTTCCAGGAAAGTAACTTGAGGCCACTGCTTTTTGTGATATTTATTAATGACGTGCCAGACAGTGTAGGGTTGTCCTTTGGCTTGCTATATGCGTCTTCATATATGCTCAGTTTCTATATACAAATGTACAAATGTTAATTTCACGAGTGTGAAAACAAAATTTCTGCATTAAACGTTAGAAAACACTTCAATTTATAGTGCATTTCAAGCGAATTGTAACGGTCTTACTTGCTTAATCCGTTTCATGCAGATAAATTCACAAGGCGATTATTTATCCATTCACCACCACTATTCACACTGGCAGCTAGGGAATTTTCCACTGAGATGAAAAGAAAACACAACGATATACAGGTGCGTTGGAACCCGTCGAGAGTGAGAGAGAGCCAAAAGACAATCGCGTGGGAGAGAATTTTGCTCGTCCGAGGTGACTTGCAACAATTAGGGGTTAATTACATGAATTGTAATCAATAATATAGACCATGTCGGGCCTTGAGACACTGAGAGTAGCATTTTACTATAAATCGCGCGTACTAATGGGGGTTTTTGCCTCTGGAGAGCATTCAGAGGGCGCGAGGGTGTGAACTCTTCGCTTATTCTAATAGTACTGAATGTGCGTTGACTAGACTCTGCCAGGGGAGCAGGTCGCAAAAATCTAGAAAACAATGTGGCGGCTGACCAATCACAGCAGCGAGAAAGGTCCACTGCCTTATAAGGTAATGAAGAAACCTGTAATTTTGTTGGTTCAAAGGGTTGTTGTTGCCGGTTTTACAAGATAAATAGTCCAGCAATAGCATATTTTTTTAGAATATTATTTTTATGGTAAATAATAGAAATTGAGATATATTAAATTAGAAATAATAAAAATTAAACCTGTTGTGGGTTATTTCCGCAACAAGATGGATTTTTCAATTCCTCTGGTAGGTTGCTGACACTATATTGATAGTTTGGCCATTTTACACAGAAAAAATCCTAATGTTAGTGAAAGATTTCATAAATATACAAAACCAACATCAAGGCTAGAATAATTGAACAAACATTGGAAAGAAAAACCACAATATTTATTGATTCCAAGTAATTTTTGCATATTATAACAACTGATAACGATTATCGTTTGCTGAAACAACTCTTGTAAAATTCATGTCAGGTGCGAGTCCTTTCCCACCGGCACGTGTCCACTTCAATAGACAATTTATTGGACTTATTTCAACCTTTAGCCAATGGTCAATATTATTATTTCAATGTAATCAATCGAACTAACGCAGCCCAACCACTTGAAGACCATCAAATGGGTGGTGGGGCAGTCCGAACGTTTTATAAAGTGTTTTAAATACTGCCAGGGTCTTTCTTGATGGAAAAGTGGCGGTAAAAGACGATAATTTAAAAAATAAAAATAAAGAAAAACTCAACTGAAAATAATAAAATAAAATAATTTGTTTTCAAGTGATTATTTATCTATGTGATACATGATAAAAACGGACCTGATTTCATTTGTGGGGTGTATAATAGTGAAAATAGTTATTCATCAAAGATTTGAAAGGTAAAATTAAACAAAAAATTTGTTGAAAATTGTGATAATTAATATTTAATAAAATTGGCGCACTCCAATCGGTAGCTCAAATAATTCATTGAACTCTTGCAGATTCAGTTGTAGATATTTTATCATTGACGAGATGATTATTTATGAATGATATGAAAATTTCATAAATTATGGCAATTTTTTCTTTATTCATAAGAACTGTCCAAAATGAAAGATGATGCATAAAGCCTGAACTTTGGACAACGGCCTCAATATTTGGTTTCGTTTCATTTGGTGATGATTCAAAAATAATTTTTTGAATATCATCTTCTCAAGATTCGAATATATTGTTTTTAGATTATGTTTACGTCAATGAATCTTGAGAAACTTTCCTTCATAAGATTTTCTTATACTCTATTACTATTTATATTAAATCAATTCAGAAGGAAAAACGAAAATGCTCCTGAGAATCTTAGAATCTGTTTGGATAACAAACCAAAATTCACATTACCATTTCAGAGTTGAAGTTATCCAGAATGTCAGTAGGTATGGGCTTTATAAAGTAGTTAAAATGTCTCGACCTGTATCATAATTCACTAATATAGCCTTTATGCTAATGTATTTCGGTGTGTCGTCAATGAATAAGAATTATTAGAGTTTTCTTATTTATTATCGACGGCACGCGAAGGTCGCTATGGTTGGGTACGTGGAAAAGCGCGTGTAATTTTTATATTTTGTGAAACTTTGTTTCGAAATCTTTTAGTACAAGGAATGTTGGTTAGAACCTTCAAAAAATCAGTAGCAGCATGAAGATGTGACAGTTTTGATGTTGTGATCCAGGCATTTTTAAAATAAAATTACTAATTCATATGATTAATAAGTGGCAACTAATTCTTGAACTATGTGTATGAAAAATTTCATTGAAATACGTAAGTGGATGTTTAATTAGTTAGAAACAAGTTCGATTTCTGTGTAAACTTGAACCAACTATTACACATTTTTATGTTAGTTGCCATCCATTAACAAATATTGACTTAAACAATTAAATTTATTTTCAATTAACTCCATAAGGCTGTAAAGATGCATATACAAATATGCATAAAATAATAATAGCAGTCAACCTTGGCTTTAAAAATACCTCTACCTTAAAGACAACATCGATAATTGAATGTTTGCTTACTCTAAGTAATGATTTTTTTTTCTAATTAAGCTCGGCCCAAAACAAAATCACCTCTAATTTTTTTTTCTTCTAAAAGAAAATCCACTCAGAAAAAAACTCCAAGATTTCAAGTGGGTTTTCTTGAATCTGAATTCTTTCAGATTTTCTATGCCTACTTGATAAATTTGCCTCATTACATTCTGCAATTTCTTCTACAAAAGATTGTTTAGATTCAGTTTCTGGGGGTGTGGGAGCCAAACAAAAAACATCATTAGCTTCAATATCATTCAATTCTATGAATTTTTCAAATAATGTTTCCTATAATTTCGTCTTTTTAACACTTTTTTAAATCTCATCAACTTCTGATTTTGCAGTTTCTTGAAAACTTTCAGTACCATGGGAAATAAATTCATAGACTCTTGAAATTTGCCTTTTCTTTTAAGAAGGCCAGGCTTTATTCATAATAAATTGATTTATGATATAGCCTTCTCGCATACAACTTATCAAAACAGTTCAGATAATCCGAAAAGTTCTAATTATTATTTAATACCAATTAAATATAATCAAGGTTCTTAAAAACGTGTATTAGTCAAGTTTAATTAGAATTTCGAGGCTGCGTCACCATCGAAAAAATGTTCTTATTTTTTACCTATTTTAATTGGTCAGGGTATATCTAAAACTTAACACGGCGCAGCACGAACAAGGTTTTCTATAAGGATATGAAACATCAGAAGGTGATAAGATTCCTATTATTATTAGGGTTGTTTAGAGAGACCTACAAATTGTCTTTTTCAAAAGATATCTTAAAAGGTTCTCGAAATATTCGAGGATTTTCAACACTAACCACTGTACTTATCTTTGTCATGCTCCATGTTTTATAGAAATCTTAAAATTAACTCAGAAATCCTGTGGTAAATTTGCTTGATGTACTGAGGATAATCCTGTATTGTATATGACTTTTTCACTTGATACTTCCTAAACAAATATAAAACTACCCATAAAGTCAATGGTTCAAATATCTTACATGTTTTGAAAAATATTCAAAACCAATTTCTCCAGAATTTAATATTTTCTAGCGTTTTCTACTTTGGAACAAAGTTAAAGTATGATTGAATTTTCAATCAATCTGAATATTTCAGCTATAAATTTAGCAGCTTATGCTACTATGTGATTATGAAAATGAGAGTTATTTAACAAGTTTGTTGACCATAACCTTCAAAAACCCCCAAAAAATACATACTCTTCACCGGTTAATCGAATTAATTTTTAATAAAACTCATTAATAACGTCTATCAGTTGAATGTCTAGTCTACCTATATTGATTTATAATTAAATGAAACCAGTTTTAATAACTCAAATATTTAGGTGATATTTTAATGATAATGAACCATAAAACCTAATGGTGTCCAACTCCCATTAGTTCATCTACATCTACCTAAAATCGAATTTTACAATAATAGCCCGTACGAAATTGAAGTTCAAGATTGTCTTTGGTTCAAGGCATAGCAAAAAGAAAAGATTTATATATGGTAAACTTGACCGGGCTTCGCTAGAAGTTCGCGCCTAAAGAACCAGTCAGTTATATAAGATGTGACTGGTAAGGTCGGATTAATTGCGAATGAGCTGATACATATATTTTTTTTTTGTTTAAATCGACTTGGAGCAAATAAAAATAAATAATGCACAAATCGGAAAATTAGACGAAGAGTTTGTACTCAATGACCATCTAGATCTCCAGCCCTAATGACACTAGATTCACCTTAAAGGACTCTTGTTTTGATACGATTTGCGATACCAGGAACAAGTTTGAATAAAGGTTTTTTAATTTAATGTTTCTTGGACTTGGCAGATCAGAAATTGCTGAAATCTTCTCGGGGTTTACAACAATACCTTCAGAAGTCAATACATGACCAAGATATTTAATGTTCGTAGTGGCAAAGGTACATTTTTCTCTCTGTTAGCTCGTAGGTTGAATTTTTGAAGTCGGTCAAATACTTTTTGCAAGTCGTTTAAGTGTTCCTGGAATGTTTCTGATAACACTAGCAGATCATCCAAATATGCAAATACCATGACATCAAGACCACTCTTAAATTTATCTATTAGCCTCTGGAATACAGCCGGAGCGTTTTTAAGACCGAACGGCATCCTTTTAAACCTGTATAGACCAAAGGGGGTGACAAATGCCGTTTTATCCCGATCCTTTTCCTCTACTGATATTTGCCAAAATCCGGACTGTATAAGTCTATTGTGGACATGTAGTTCGTCTGTTTTGTTCCTTGTAAAAGGTCATCTATTCGGGGCATTGGATACTTGTCGCTAATTGTAATGCTATTGAGCTTTTGGTAGTCGATGCACTCTGATTTTACCATTGGGTTTTGGCACCATGACAACAGGCTTGGGCTCTCATATTCTTCAATTATGTCGTTAAAAAGCATTTTATCAATTTCTATTTTTAATATTTCTCGTTTGGTTTTCAGTTGACAGGGTTGTAAAGAAATTGGAATAACATTAGTTCTAATGTGCAATGTGGCAATTTTCGTGGGCTGACCACTGGACTTAAAGACTTGTGAAATTGCTCGTAAAATCTCCTTCAGTTGATTCCGCTCCTTTAACATTAATATAATTCCTTCATTAGTGCTCAGAGAACTACAGTCATTGATATCCGGTGAAGTTGTTTCACTGGATGCAACATCAACAATCTCCGGGAAAGTATATTTATTTTGGAAATTCGCTCCAAATTGCCAAAATCGGTTTGAGAGGTCCAGCACAATCTCAGAATTTCTTATTAAGTCGGCTCCAAGTAAAGTCTGTTTTTTTTAAAAGATAATTGCCCAAGTCAAAAATGTAGTAATAGTACGGGATACGAGGCCTATTTCATCAAATCATTTTACACCGTCTTGCATTGTTATCATCAGTTAGATAACATGATGCTGAAACGCACTTGCGCAGTGAAATATATAGGAGTGGGGAATTTAGCTGATAAAAATTTTTGAGAAAATGTCGTCATAATCCAGGAAAATATACAATTTCACACCGTCTTGCATTTACTTATTAAGTTAATTTGTACACAAACAAAATTAGAATACCCTATGCAAGACATTTTCCTGGGGGTTTTCGGGTTGTAATATTAGATAGAAATTGTCAATTTTTCAGAGGGGTGAAATATCATTTCACACCACTCAATTGTTGATTTAGATTATAGCTTGAATGTAGAATAGCCATTGGATACTGATGCAAGACGTACTGTGAGGGGATAATGGGCTGCAAGACAGAGGTCAATGTGTTGTCTTATGAGGGAGGGAGAAATCATTTTACACCGTCTTGCACTGGTACTTATGGGAAAAATAGAACACATTGATGACATTTTTTAAAATACAAGACATTCTAAATGGGAAGAAAGGACTGCAAGACGATGATGAAGTTGACTAATTTTGACAAGGGTCAATCTATCAGGTACAAAGAGGAATACTACTTCAAATTACAAATTATGCACATTAATTTTAAATAGTTTTGCTCTTCACCACGTAGAATAATTCTATTTTGCGAAATTCTCCTAATAATATGTATATATGAATGTTTCTACGGACATCAAATAAAAAAAGATTGAAAATTGTTTTATTTTTGACGGCTTTTAATCATTTAGGTTCTCTTTGAGGTGGATATCCCATGACACATAACATGTTTTGTGCACATAACAGATTGTAAGCATTAAATTTGAAGAATTTCATTTTAAAGCAGCAAAAAAATGTGAAAATGACACAACAAATGATCTGTCTGAAATTGTAAACAAAAATTATAATTTTTGTATTCAACAGACTCCCCTGTTGAGCTGCTATGTCAACTGTCCTTTTTCATCTGTATG